CATGGCATCCAGCCTTTAGCACTGGAATTTTGAATCACTTTTTTTTTTGAGACACCGTGTCTCTCTGTCTTGCAGAGGCATGATCACGGCTCACTGCAGCCTTGACCTCCCAAGCTCAGGTGATCCTCCCGCCTCAGCCTCCTAAGTGGCTGGAATTCCAGGCACATGCCACCATGACCAGTTACTTTTTGTTTTTGGTAGAGACAGGATCTTGCTATGTTGCCCATGCTGGTCTGGTCTTGAACTCCTGGGCTCAAGTGATCTACCTGCCTCAGCCTCCTAAAGTGTGGGGATTACAGGTATGAGCCACCGTGACTGGCTGGAATCACATTTAACTGACCAATAGTTTAGAAAAACTTGAAAAATAAGCCATATCACTTTGAAAGTATTTTAATACATTCTGATATTATATGGATTGAGAAACTAGTTTCAGAAATAAAAAATTTTATGTGCAGTCGAGAGATTTTAGATTTATTTTCAAGGATGTTCACTGGAAAATGAAGGTATTCAGAGCTACAACTATTGATGATTAAGCTAGAAAATTTCATGCCTATTGTAGCACATGATTTAAGAAGTAAACAAGTGGATAAAAATATGTAATCAACCTATGACATCAAATGAAAATTTCAGAACAAATGTTCATAATGTGCCATTTTTTCAATTGCTTAACACCTCCAAGGGGATTTCAAAGATAGGCCCTTGAAGGTTCAAGGGTTGCCTGTCTGTTCACAGAAACTTCTGTTATACAAACTGAAATGAGCCTGGTTTTACTTTGAGACACTATTGTGAACTAGTACTGAAGGGAGCCTGATAGAAAATTTTAGAGCTCAAAGAAAAGCTAAGAAATTTGGCTCAAAAATGGGACAGATTGAAACCATTTTTAAAGGAATACAAGACCATAAAGGAAATTGATTCAGGAGAGGAAGACTAGTATCATTTTGAAAAGCTAGACATGAAGCACAAGGTGTGCAATTCTTGTTACAATGATTGAGTATGCTGCTACATAACTTGAAAGCATGTGCCAAGGTGATAAAATATTTCCCTGCATTTTAATTAATTAATTAATTAATTTAGAGACAGGGACTCTGTCACCCAGGCTGGTGTGTGGTGGCATGGGTCTCATTCACCCAGACTGCAATGTATAGGTCACTGCAGCCTCAAACTCCTTAGCTCAAGGGATCCTCCCTTCTCAGCCTCCCAAGTAGCTGAGACTAGAGGCACACATCATCATGCTCCAGTAGTTTTCTTTCAATTTTTCTAGAGACCGGGTCTTGCTATGTTGCCAGGCTGGTCTCAAACTTCTGGCCTCAAGCCATGTTCTTGAGCCTTAGCCTCCCAAAGTGCTAGGACTACAGGCATGAGCCACTGCATCCAGCTTTCCTTGGATTTTAAGCTGGTGGTGACATTGTTTTATACCGAGTTGCATATGAAAGAGATATTCTCCTTTAAAAATTACATCAGAACCAGTAGGAGAAATAGAACAACTAAAGGACATTTGGAGCTTCATGCTTGGGAAGAACACATTGTGAATTTTGAAACACCTCCTATGATTAAGGTGTTATGGCAAAAAAAGCAAAACCTTGAGAAAGTTAGCAATTTAGTAGACTTTCTATATTCCACTTATCAAAGAGAAATTTTGCTCAGCTAATTTACAGTATGCAGCCATAGTAGCTAAGTAGATTATTCCATCACGGTTTCCCATGAATGAGTTGCCTTATAAAAAAACCCAGGCACAGATAATTCTGAAATGGATGCATTTCTTGGGCAGCATTTCAAAACTAATTTATTGCTTTCTTCAAATGATTAATAATGGAAGGTTTTGTGGGTAGGGAGCCCATCAGAATCATACAAATCATGGGCTACTGACCCAAAAGTCTACAGGAGCCGGCGGTGGGGGGAGGGGGTGGTGGGTAAATAATGTGTGAAGGACGCAGACTTCAGAGTAGTGGAGACTGACAAACTAAGAAAAGAATACACCAAATAGAGGAGCAGCCATCATGCAGTCCCAGTGGACAACTGGACCTAATGCCCGAGGGTACAGAGTGATGATGGGTCCTGAGTCATGATAGAATGATTGCTGCCATGTGGGAATGGAAGCCCTGGGGTGACAGATCTGATTATTCAAAAAAAACCTAGAAATCCAGCTGTTCACATAAAGTACCCAGATTTTTATGTGAAATCTCTCAGTTGTAAATGTTGGCAACCAGTTTTTATTTGTAACATATTATTATTATTACAGAGGCCAACAGACAAGCATTGCATAAAAACAGAAAATGGGCCAGCTGCAGTGGCTCACGCCTGTAATCCCAGCACTTTAGGAGGCCAAGGCAGGCAGATCGCCTGAGGTCAGGAGATGGAGACCAGCCTGGCCAACATGGTGAAACCCCATCTCTATTAAAAATACAAAAAATTAGCTGGGTGTGGTGGCAGGTAGGTGCCTGTAATCCCAGCTATTTGGGAGGCTGAGGCAGGAGAACCACTTGAACCCAGGAGGCAGAGGTTGCAGTGAGCCAAGGTCGCACCACTGCACTCCAGCCTGCAGCAACAGAGTGAAACCCATTCTCAAAAAAAAAAAAATCACACTGACTTGCTGAAGAGAACTGGCTAGTTGCCTGCAGAATGCCTCACCTTCTAGATTTGCTTCCTCCTAGTGTCTGTTAGCTTCTCTATCCCAAGTATTTTCTGTAAATTGCAAGTTACTTCTTTTTGTGAATGGGAAGCAGTAAGAACATATACGAGGTTGAGTTACACACCTGCATCATACCAGAACTGGTTTACCATTAGTGATGCTAAGACTGACTTCAGGAAATGGGCAATGACACTTGGTCTGTTCCCACCAACATAGTTACATTTATAGCCTCATGACTGTAAACTGAGCCAGGTGAGGTGGCTTATCCCTGTAATCCTAGCACTTTGCAAGGCCAAGACAGGAGGATGGCTTGAACCTGGGAGTTTGAGACCAGCCTGGACAACATGGCAAAACCTTGTCTCTACAATAAGTACAAAACGTAGCTGGGTGTGGTATTACATGCCTGTAGTCTCAGCTACTTGGTAGACTGAGGTGGGAGGATCACTTGAGCCTGGGAGGTCAAGGCTTCAGTGAGCCGTGATCATACTGTAAATTGTGTGGTGTTACTTAGCACTGTATAAGTGTCCACTTGTCCACCAACCATTTCACCTGTTTTTTTTTTTTTTTACACCAATTAATGATCTTTGCCAGATCTGGAGCACCTGAGGTCAGGAGTGCAAGACCAGCCTAGCCAACATGGTGTAACCCTGTCTATACTAAAAATACAAAAATTAGTCAGGCATGGTAGCATGCGCTTGTAATCCCAGCTACTTGGGAGGCTGAGGCAGGAGAATCACTTGAACTCGGGAGGCGGAGGTTGCAGTGGGCCAAGATGATGCCATTGAACTCCAGCCTAGGCAACAAGCGCGAAACTCCATCTCAAATAAATAAATAAAATAATCTTTGCTAGAATCAATAATTTTATTAACATTCCACAAAATGTTGTTTTTCAATTATATCACTTCTATATTTATTAGCTGACATTTTCCTTTCCACAACTAGGGTTCTAATTAATATTATTTTATTTTAGTTTTAGTTTTTATTTTGTAGAGGCAAGGTCTCACTATGTTGTGCAGGCTGTTCTTGAACTCCTGGGCTCAATCCATCCTCCTGCCTAAGCCTCTGAGTGCTGGGATTTCAGGCATGAGCCATCACACCTAACCCCTAATTAATATTATTTTTTAAGTAACTCCAAGTGGGCCAAACTCAATGCATTTCAAGGCTGGATTTACCTTGCTGGCTACCATCTTTGGATCTACAATCTAAGCTGGACAGTCTAACCTTTCATCACTCTGTACCCTGTGGTATTAAACCTTTTTATTTATTTTTATTTATTTATTTTGAGATGGAGTCTTGCTGTGTTGTCCAGGCTGGAATGCAGTGGCAAGATCTCAGCTCACTGCAATCTCAGCCTCCTGGGTTCAAGCAATTCTCCTGCCTCACCCTCCGAGTAGCTGGGATTACAATCTCACACCACCATGCCCAGCTAATTTTTGGTTTTTAGTAGAGACAGGATTTCACCATATTGGCCAGGCTGGTCTCCAACTCCTGACCTCAAGTGATCTGCCTGCCTCAGCCTCCCAAAGTGCTGGGATTACAGGCATGAGCCACCATGCCCAGCCTTTTAAAAAATTTTAAATAGAGATGGGGTCTTGCTATGTTGATCAGTCTGGCTTCAAGCGATCCTCCCATCTCGACCTCCCAAAGTGCTGGAATTACAAGCATGAGCCACCATGCCCAGCCTTTTGTTTCTAATAATCAATTACTTTGCAATTGGTGACATGTTGCTTGTAATCTTTTCAAGTCATTTTATGCATGCATTTGTCTCCCTGGCTAGACTGTGACCTCCTCAAGGACAGGGACTCTCTTTCTTTCATCACTATATTTCCTTTGCTTCTCCTAATGTGTTTATTTTACTTTAGCCAGAGTCTCACTCTGTCACTTAGGCTGGAGTGAGGTGGTGTGATCTCAACTCACTGCAACCTCCATCTCCTGGACTCAAGCGATTTTCATGCCTCAGCCTCCTGAGTAGCTGGGACTACAGGTGCAAGCCACCATACCCAGCTAATTTTTGTGTTTTTATTAGAGACAGGGGTTTCACTATGTTGGCCAGGCTGGTCTTGAACTCCTGACCTCAAATGATCCACCCACGTTGGCCTCCCAAAGTGCTGAGATTACAGGCGTGAGTCACTTCGTCCATCGTGTTTCTCCTAGTGTGCTTTTAAAGGTACTTTGGCTACTGCTAGTCCTAATTAACAAAAAAAGCATCAGTAAGAACCAGAAGTTTTCATTATTGCTGCTTGTGTTCCCTGGCTTTCCCACTAAAAGTTTCCTTAATTCTCTATCATAATGAAGTGCTTATCTTGTTTACAATAAGTAAACCTTTATAGTTTACTTGTGTTGTGGGAATCCCATGAAAGGACATGGGAGGGAGGAAGGTAAATAGCCCTTTATTCGTTTTCAAAAGTTGGAAAGTCATTATCCAGCTGTGTGACTTTGGGAAAATCACATCATCACTCAGTTTCTATTTCTTCATTTAGTAAAATGAGATGACTGGGTTATCTCTAAAATCACATCCCACTTGGCTTGAACCTTCTAGGCCTGACTAGTATCTTTTACTGTCACTCCCTGCTTAGAGGTACCCTGGTTCCCTTCACGTGGATTAGCACTATCCTTTCATGTAAGGTCAAGTGTAGGTGAAATGACACCCACAGTAAACAGAATTTGTCTCTGATGGCTCTCCTATCATCACAGTTATTCTGGTCTAATGTATACATCCCAGTAAAGATTTGCTCATGTTTGCAAAGTAAAACTTCAGGCCTTCACAAGTGTGGTGTGGTGCCAAGTGTGGACATTCCAAAGACCCTATATAAGCAAGAGACCCATTCTTAGGTCTTCCTCACTCTAAAGTAGGACAGGACAGAGAAGACTGAGATTGGTTAGACTCTTGTCATAGAACTTCACCATAAGGGCTCTGAATGACCCCAGACCAGCTTTGGGGGCATGGGAGCTTCTAAATCACAAAACTAAACAATGCCTTAGCTTACCTGTTCCTTCTAATCTTATTTCAGCCTATGCCTCTCCTTTCTGGGTTTGTTTGGTTTTTTCCTTAAGCCACAGGGTCTCACTCTGTCGCCAAAGCTGGAGTACAGTGGCACCATCATGGCTCAGTACAGCATGAACCTCCCAGGCTCAAGTGATCCTCCCACCTCAGCCTCCTGAGTAGTTGAACTACAGATGCACACTACACCTGTATTACAGGATCAGGGCCCCACTGTGTTGCCCAGGCTGGTCTTGAACTCCTGGACTCAAGCAATCCTCCCACCTCAGCCTTCCAAAGTGCTGGGATTACAAGTATGACCCACAGTGCCTGCCCATGGCCATCCTTTTCCTTTTATTCCCTTCTTTATAGGTACAGTCTGAAGGTTCTCATCCAATTGGCTTTCTTTTTTTTTTTTTTGGAGATGGAGTCTCACTCTGTCACCCAGGCTGGAATGCAGTGGTGCGATCTCAGCTCACTGCAACCTCCTCCTGGGTTCAAATGATTCTCCTCCCTCAGCCTCCAGAGTAGCTGGGATTACAGGTGTGTACCATCACACCCTGCTAATTTTTGTATTTTTTGTGGAGATTGGGTTTCACCATGTTGGTCAGGCTGGTCTCGAACTCCTGACCTTGTGATCCACCCGCCTCAGCCTCCCAAAAAGCTGGATTACAGGTGTGAGCCACCATGCCCGGCCCAACTGGCTTTATGTGCTTGGAAGTAAGTCTTTCTCTACATCCTCCTTGACTGAGGATACTCTGTAGCCTGATTATAAATGGCATCTTACATTTCCCTGGCTCTGAAAGCTCCAGGTGATAGAGGGGGAGACAGTTAAGTCTCTAAAGAGTAAGGCAGAGACAGAACCATCACTAGCTTTATTCTTCTTCTTTTTTTTTTTTTAAGATGGAGTTTTGCTCTTATTGCCCAGGCTGGAGTGCAATGGCATAATCTTGGCTCACTGCAATCTCTGCCTCCCAGGTTCAAGTGATTCTCTTGCCTCAGCCTCCCAAGTAGCTGGGATTATAGGCTCCCTCTATCATGCCTGGCTAATTTTTTGTGTTTTTAGTAGAGATGGGTTTTCACCATGTTGACCAGGCTGGTCTTGAACTCCTGACCTCAGGTGATCTACCTGCCTCAGCCTCTCAAAGTGCTGGGATTACAGATGTGAGCCACTGCACCTGGCCACCAGCTTTATTCTTGATAACCCATTCAGACCTGTAGTAAATAGGGCTGGCCAGAGCAAAGAGCTAAAGACTGTAGTCAAAGCCTAACCCTTGTCCTTGACTGTCATCTAAGACGACAGAGTAGATCCATAATTCCTCCATTTTCCCCATTTCTGCATCTCAGCACTAGTGGTTGTTAATTAAATCAGGTGGCAAGTTGGCCAAACAAGGTCTACCTTTTGCTATATACTTGGCACACCCCATGAATCTTTCATCAACAACTGTAAATACTAAATAGAAATATTGAGGAGGATTAGTCTCCCAGTAAATAGGAAGAAAGGACACTTGTGATGCAGGGTACACCAGGGAGCCTGCCAGTGATGGTGTTGGGGTGGCTGGGACTGCTCTTTTGTCATGGCCTGCCCTTATCAGCTGTCGTCATTTGTTTTCCCTCAGGAAGAAGTAGCCTCGGGTGGCAAGAACAATGTTGGGGAGCCTGAGGGTAGGCCAATCAGCACAGACCTAGAAAGGAATGAGTCAGATCAGGAACAGAAGAGGCCAAAATCAGAGTAAGAAACAAAGGGTCAGGAGCTGGGCACAGCAGCTCATGCTTGTAATCCCAGTAACTCAGGAGGCCAAGGTGGGAGATCACTTGAGGCCAAAAATTCAAGACCAGCCAGGACAACATAGCAAGATGCTGTCTCTAAAAAAATTTTTTTTTAAACTTAGCCAAGCATAGTGGTGCACACCTGTAGTCCCAGCTGAGGTGGGAAGATTGTTTCAGTGCAGGAGTTCGAGGTTGCCATGAGCCATAATTGGGATGCTCCACTCTAGCCTGGACAACAGAGTGAAACTCCCAACTCTGTTTTTTTTTTTTTTGAGACAGAGTCTCACTCTGTCACCAGGCTGGAGTGCAGTGGCGCGATCTCAGCTCACTGCAACCTCTGCCTCCTGGTTCAAGTGATTCTCCTGCCTCAGCCTTCTGAGTAGCTGGAATTATAAGTGCATACTACCGGACCCACCTAATTTTTGTATTTTCAGTAGAGACGGGGTTTCATCATGTTGGCCAAGATGGTCTTGATCTCCTGACCTCAGGTGATCTGCCCGCCTTGGCCTCGCAAAGTGCTGGGATTACAAGGATTACAGGTGTGAGCCACGGCACCTGGCCAAGACTCCCAACTCTTAAAAAAAAAGATGTGGGGCTCAGTGGCTCATGACTATAATCCCAAGGTAGGCAAATCACCTGAGGTTAGGAGTTCGAGACCAGCCTAGCCAACATGGCGAAACCCCATTCTCTACTAAAAATACAAAAGTTAGCCAGGTGTGGCGGTGCCCGCCTATAATCCCGGCTATTCAGTAGGCAGAGGCAGGAGAATAACTTGAACCTAGGAGGCAGAGGTTGCAGTGAGCTGAGATCATATCACTGCACTCTAGCCCAGGCAACAGAGTGAGACTCTATCTCCAAAAACAAACAAACAAACAAAGGACAGGAGGGATGTAAAGTTATGCAACCTTGTCTGGATTTCCCATCATGGGGTTTTTGTATTCACTTATTTAATAATAATTCAGAAGATGCAATCTCAGCTGAATAAGCAGTAATTCAGTTTCAGAACATTTCTCTCTCCAACAAGGTGCATTTCTCCCTCTGGCACTCATGAATTCACAGTATGAATCTGAACTCTTTCCCTCTCACTTAGAGGTCTCTTCTATGTATTTCCCAGGTCGGCTGGCATAGTCATTTTAGAATAGCCCGCAAATGTGGAATTTCTGTTTTCAGGAGTCATCATTTCCAGTGTGAAACTCACTGAGTGACAGAAAATGAAGACTAAAGATGAAAGATTGCTAGATTAATTTGCCTAAAACCAATTCACCTAAAGCCAATTAGTCTAAAATAAATATTTATCAAATCTGCAGCATTTCAAAAGGATTTAGCAGATTCGCCCTTTTACTTTTTATTACTGTTGTCTGTATAACCTTTAATTGTAAGTCAACTGAATATGCCTCATGCCTATTTAAGATATACTGGCATTTTAATAGTAGGAATGTAGATGTTAGATCAAAGCATCAAAATCACATTGAACTCCATTACATTTTTCAAGGCATTTAATTTGTAAAGGAATATTGGATTAAGAAACAAAAAAAATGATACACAAAACATCTGCACCAATTATATTTATTGCCAGAAACTTTAAACTTTTTAAAAAAGTTTTTGAAAAGTAGATAACATAGAAAAAGACATCCATAAAGGTAGGAAGCAATCTCATCATTCACAAAGTGCTGCAAATTTGATAAATTTATGTTGCTGATAATAACTCAAAAGTACTCTTGGATGAATAGATATAAATCCTTGAAATACCCAAAGCATGACAAAAAATAATAGGACACCTAAATGGATATAAATACACCAAAATAGGAATTGAGCTTTTGGCAAATTAGTCATTAAGTCATTCGCTTTAAGCAAACAAGTTTTCAGTAAATTGGTTTTAAGAGATCTAGCTTTAGGTGAACTAATTTCAGGCAAACTGACTAGTACCAAACCAGTGTTTTGCTCCCTCCAGTTCCCCTCAACTCTAGTTTTGGGATTGTGATGGACACAAACTGGGGCCACTCTGAGAGGTGACAGGTGAGCTACTACTAGGAAACCAAGTCTAAGAGTGATCTGAGAATAGAGTGAGAGTGTGAGTGAGTGTGTATGTGTGTGTGAGAGAACACACCCATTACCTCCCCCAGCCAAGGAGAAGAGCAACCGAGTACAAGCACTCACCTAGCCTCCCCAGACCCACGTGAGTCCCTGAGAAACAAGGAATACAGGCAGCAAGCCCACTCAGAGCTGGTCCCCATTCTCAGCAGATAGATGAGGAACTCTCCTAGTCCTTAGAAAAAGGCCAAGAAATAACTTGTTAATGAGGTTCAGAGGTTCTACCTCTTTATCCAGACATAGGTGCTTATGGTGGTAAGCACCTGGAAGACCCCTATCTGACACCATGTGTCACAAAAAAGTGAGGAGCTTAAATTTGGTTGCCTATCAGGACTTCACCACCCTAGAACTGCCACCTCTCAGAGGGGTCCCACACTGCATCAACCACAACCCAAAAACTCTGGGGTTTGGGGTAGCTGAAGGGAGCAATACACTTTAATTTGCTTCTAGTTAGTTTCATTGAAACTAGTTGATTTAAAGCTAGGCCCTCTACTCTTGGAATCTGGGACCAGAACATTGCATAATTCATAAACAATCACATACTAGGCCAGACACAGTGGCTTACACCTGTAATCCCAGCACTTTGGAAGGCCAAGGTGGGAGGATCGCTTGAGCCCAGGAATTCAAGACTAGCCTTGGCAACATGGCGAGATCCCATCTCTAAAACAAACAAACAAACAAAACTATATATATATACTGAAGATACAGAATCAGATGTTGAGAAAGTACTGGAACCCTCCTATGTGTGCCTAAGCTCAGGCTGCACACATGGAAAATGGCCAGTCACCCCCACCCTGGTAAATATAAAGTTTCTCCTCCACAATCCATTTGGAATGTCATGATCTTTGGGTCTCTGGCCTTGGGGTCCTCCCCAGAGGACTCTTCTGCCAGGCCTGTGGAGTATATTATTTGCCTTGGCTGGCCTCAGAGGGCCCACTGGCCAGAGCAGTTTGTCAGCGGTGGTGATGGCAGCAGCAGTGACTGAAGCTCAGATATAGTTGGCAGGGGGCTGTCGGGCATTGAGCCGCTGCATGTGGCAGCCATGGCAGAGCAAGTGCCCATCCAGAGGGAAACAGCAGCAGCCTTCCTCATCACTCAGCTGCATCCGGCAGTCCTAGGGAAGAAGGTACCTAATTCACCTCAGTCCAGGTGCCTTGGACACTGAGGGCATCTTAGGAGTCTGCTCTGCTCAACACCTGACTCCTAATAACTGGAAGAAATGATTGGGGAGGGAAGGATGGAAGGGATGGAAGAGCAATCTGAGAAAATACTGATACCTCAGCTGGACACCAGGTGTCACTGCTGCAGCAGAAATATTGACACAAGCCTGTCTTTACAGCAGTTTAACCAGAGACCCTAGCCTTAGAAAGTCCTGATTCTGGGAGAGTCAGATTCAGAAAGGACTAAGCAACTTGGACCAGAGAGAGTGGCTGGAGGACAAGAAAGAGACTGAAGACAGGTCACGGTACCTTTCTGGTTTCCCATGCCCTCCACCTCTAACCAAGATACCCGGTTGTTATAGGACTTGACTCCTCCCCTCTCCCCAATTCCACTTCCCCTCCAGCACTTCTGAACCCCAACACTCACCTCACAGTGGTAGCACTCAAAGTGATAATCCCGGTCCATGGATATCACCCTCACGATGTCTTCGCAGCCCTGAAACATGCAGTCACCCATGGAGATGAGAGCAGCATGTTGCCTCACCTCTACTCTTCCCCCATATACAGCCCCTCCCACCCCATGGGAAGATCACACAAATGCCCCAGAGCCTCTCTGCAATCACCTGTAGCTTTAAGATGCCTCTGCAAATCCTTCCAGAACTCTCCTCATCTCCTTCACTGGGCTGCCCCCAACTGCACAAGAGCCCTGGTCTTACCTACTTCTTCCAGTTGTGGGGGAAGCAAAGGGAAGGGAAAGGGACAGGAGGCATAAATAAAGTGGGCTAGGCTGGGAACAAAAGGATCCAACAAAATCTGGTCCTCACTGGCTTTGGCTTCTCTCCATAGGCACATCCTGTACACATAGCTTAAATCATTTCCAACCCCCTCCTGCCAGTATTGAGGATTCTTCCCACCTTTTTCCAGCCCCTACATCTACAGTCTGGTGACCCTGACCTCAGAGAAAGTCTCCTCCTCTGGATTGGGATAGACGATATGGAGCCTGGGCCCAATTTGGCTTTCAGACATGTCCAGGCCCGGATGTTAGGGTCAGAGTGGTGACCCCAAGAGGCAGAGTCACACGGGAATCTTCAGAGTACATTCCTCGGCACTATCGCTTCCGGCGGGAGGCTGGGCAGCATGTCCCTATTCCCTCCCCAGAGACAGTGGCACTGGCTGTCCTAAAGGAGAACCCAGACATACTGACCTCAGAGGGGAGGATGGGTTGGCCACAGGCTGCACACTTAGGAGCATAATTTCTGAAAGAGACAGGGCAGAGATGAGCTGAGGTTGGGGGATCCCTGGACCCAGGTCCACACTGCATCCCAAGAGGTGGACTCACTTGTGGTAGTCGGTGACACAGTACACTTGGTTGGAGAAGTCCACTGTGAAGGGGATGCCATCCAGGCACTTGTTGCAAACAATGCATCGGAAACAGCCTGGGTGATAGGACTTCCCCATTGCCTGTAGGATCTGGCTCATGGGGTAGCAAGAGAATCAGTCTCCCTCCAGTCCCAGCTCTCCAGCTGCCCATTATGCTCCTTACTATCCCATTAACCTCATCCAACCCCCTGCTCTCCTCTTAGAACAATACTATGTAATGTGGGGGAAGTAAGAAGTTTTAAAATGGAGGCAGAAACCCTGAAAAATGCCTGAGAGAACATTCAGGCCAGTAGTTTTTAACGCTGGCTGCCTATCAGGATCACCTAGGGAGCTTTTAAAAAACATCAATGCTTTGGCCCTCCTCCAGACCTATTATCACAATCTCTAGTGATGGGATCCAAACACTGTATTTTTTTTTAGTTCTTCCCAGCTAATATGCTAGGCTACCATGATGGAGAATCGCTGATTTAATCCAATCTCTCTTTTTCTGCAGAAAAGAAAACTAAGTCTCAAGTGATTCTAACCAGTAGCAGCAGAAAGGGGATTAAGACTCAGGATCCCAGGCCAGGCACGGTGGCTCACGCCTGTAATCCAGCACTCTGGGAGGCTGAAACAGGAGGATTACTTGAGGCCAGGAATTTGAGACCAGCCTGGCCAACGTGGCAAAACTCCATCTCTACTAAATATACAAAAATTAGCCAGGCATGGTGGCGTGTGCCTGTAGTCCTAGCTACCCGGGAGGCTGAGGCACTAGAATCGCTTGAACCTGGGAGGTGGAGGTTGCAGTGAATTGAGATCATGCCACTTACATGTCAGAGTGAGATGCTGTCTCAAAAAAAAAAAAAAAAAAGATGCAAGACCCCACACTCCTAGCTCAGGCTGGAAGGCCTGGCTGTGCCTGCAGAATTAGGGAGGCGCCAGGTCACAGAAGCCTGGGACGACAAACTTTGGAGCCCAGACTTGATCCCAAAGGCAGAGGAAAGCCATGGTAAACAGTTGCTCTGGGGAGGAATGGGATGAAAGCCTTCTTCCCTTAACCTTCTCTCAGTATCCATTTAGTCCCTGATTCTACTCCTCAGCTGCACAGTGAGAGTCTCAGCTGAAGGCACTTTACTTACCTTCTCCAAAATCAAGTGACCACAGACACAGCATTTCTCAGCTGCCTCCTGAAACCCTGAAAACTAAAGTAAAAGACAAGACAAAGGGAGGCTGTTATCAAACTGAGGATGATGGGTGGAACTCCAATAGGCCACCAAGAAGGGAGTCAGGATGGAAACCAATTCCAGGTCCAGGTGACCCTTACTCACCAGATAATCTTCCTCACAGTACACAGAGCCATTGACACTGTAGAAAGCCTTGCAACGCAAAGTTCGTCCTAGAAACAGCAGAGAAGGGGCTGGAACCTATCCCACAGCCCAGGTGCAAGACCTCTCCCACTCTGGAGTCACTGCTCCTCAATGCTGCATAATATTTTTCAACCTGGACTTTGTGCCTGTCCTCCTAACTGATGTCTGTCCTTCCCCACACAAAAATTCCATCTGATGCAATTCCAATTTGCTTTGGCTTCATTCCAGCCAACTTCCCCTCTCCTCCCGCTCCTGCCTCCTCAACAGTTTCCTAGGGCCCTCCCCTAACAACCCTCCCCTAAACAAACTGCCTTCCTCTCCAGTGCATAGGAAGCCACCTGGGAGAGTGAAGCCAACCACATGCTGAAATACATGATAAAGGAGCTCTTAATAAGGTGCTATATGATTTGCATAGAGAGAATCACATTGTTACAGGCCTTGCCCTCTGGGATCCTTCAACCTAGAAGACTCTTTGCCTAAGCATATCTAACCTGATCTCAGAGCCCTATTTCCTTCCACGGACAGACTCCACGGAGGTGAGGACTGGAGTTACTGCAGGAGGACAAAGTGCTTGGTTTGGAAGCAAAGCAGGTCCCCTTTCCTGTTTGTATGAGGTTGCTTCCCTAAGCCTGGAGGGACCCAAAGTCTCTGGGGTAAGAGGCAACACAAGATCTTCTTCTAGCAGACAAGGCAGGACCATTCCCCATGTGACCAACACCCAGGAACTGCTCCCAGGTGTCTAAATTGTCAGGGATGGGGGAGGAGTGAGAGAACAGGTGGAGCATGAGCAATTTTCCCACCTTTTTGCCTTCTTCCCATCAAAATCCCCACCTTCAGCTATGTCCAGTGGGTTAGGAAAGCTGACTTAGATGCTCATGAGACACAGGGGTGGAAAGAGAGGGAAAGAGATATAGTTAGAAGAGGTTCTATAAACAGAAGGGTAGACAGAGATGAGCCTAAAAACCAGGCAGAAACTGGGGGAGTGAGAAAAGCGGAGTGCTGGAGTCAGACAGGCAGATAGGAGATTAAAGGTTTAGCAAAGGAATCAGAATGGGTAAGCGGTGGGGAGGGGGTAATGAGGGAGGTGAGGGGGGGCAGTTAAGGCTGCTGGGAGCATCTCCCCTTCCCAAATGGGCCTCCAGAGCTAACAGTGGCAGGCATTCCTGGAGCGTGATGTCATCAGCTTGGCATGGCCCGGTGGCCTGCACTCTAGCGAGGTGGCTGAACTCTGACCAGCCAAGAGAAAACCCCCCTCTCCGCCCCCGACAGCTCCCCACTCCCCCAGCCTGCCCCCGCCCTCTCTACATTCCAGTCTTTCACGGTCGCCCCAGGCAACTTGGCTGCCCAAGACCAAGCCCCACCAAGAAGCTGGAGGGCCAGGCAAGTCCAGGATGGGCAAGCAGGGAAGCATGAGGGAGAAACAGAGGTGAGGAAGGAAGGAGGGACTCCAGAAAGGAGACCCACCATGGGGCAGAGAGAGCCAGGTAGAGCATAAACAGGGAAGCAAGAGGCAGAGCAGTTTCGGACCTCTAGATACTTGGTGGGGATCCAACAGCTGCTCGGTGAGCAAATGAAGAGGCACAAGCTCTCCCCCTGTTCCCCATAGCACTTGTAAGTGTGTACATGGGCAAGGGAGGGGGGTGCTTGAGTGTTGGGGCTACACTTACCACAAGAGCAGCAGACAAAGCACTGGGTGTGGTAAAGGCTGTCCAGGGCCTGGCAGGCATTGCTCTGCCCATAGATGCCTTTGTTGCACTTGATACAGGTGCCTGAGAAGAGAAAAGAGCATCACACTGTACTCCCCCAGGTCAAAACCAGGAATTCCCAAGCTTTCCTCACTACTCTTTCCTGATGTGCCAAGGGTCACAATCTCCCTTTGATGGGCTCCCTTCTGAGAAGAGAAGATAACAGGTAATGAAATACAGCAAGATCTTGGCTGAGCAGATCCACTTTTGTTTAATTACTCAACAGATACAACACCACTACCTGAGGAAACCTGGAGAAAGTTGAAGATATGGTCCCTGGCATTTAAATGCTTAGTTTCTGTTGGGGAGAAAAGACCACAAAGGCAAGGTATGATCTCTGCTGCAGTGTGTGGGACAAATGGTCAGAAATGCTGGCCCACAGCAGACTTGAAAAAACTTTCTAGAGAAAGCAGGCTAGGCCCAGAAGGCCTCTCTGGGACTTCAGTTTTTCCCATCAGTCAGACAAGCTGCTGTTCGGTTACAGAATGATTTCTCTCTGCTGCAGACTTCCAAGGATGGAGAAAAGGACCTGGCTCAGCAGAGGGCTCTGTGCAGAGAACCATGTGAGCATGACTCCTGTGGGGAGGTGGCTGCTGAGAATGCAGGGTGTGTTCCAGGAACCAGCATTGCACAGGAAAAGGGGGAGAGTGGCAAAGCCCCTGATGCCTCCCAGCCACCTTCTATCATTCGAGGAGCACAGAACTGAACTGCTTGCTCTTCCCCAAAATCCCCCGCTAAGATACATACACCTGGCTCTGGCACTCGCCTTTCTTGGGTGTGTTCTTCCCTCCCTCCACTCCCCAATTCCAGGCCCATGAGTGAGGGCTAGGGCCTGTCTTTGGGGAGCAGATCCCAACGGGCCCGCCCCACCTCTCCCCCTCGGCAGGCTGCCACACTCCTTGCCTGTTGGGGCCCATCCCAGTCTTTGCCCAGGGGCTTGGGAGCCTGTGCAGCAGCTGCAGCAACTGATGGGCCCAGGCCTGTCCTGCTCCCACCCTCTGGCAGCTGCGCAAGGCTGAAGCCAAGGAAGAGGGCCCCTACTCAGGGCAGGAAAAGGAGGGTACAGTCAAGCTGGGGCTGGGGGACACAAGGGGTATGTTGGGGTTCTGTCAAAGGAAGCAACCTAACCCCCAGGGAGAAGGAGCCCCCATCTCTGAATTAGAAATGTGGCTTCCTCATGGAAGTGAAGATCTGCCCTAGATTGCCATGCCAGGGGGTCCTGACAGAGCCGTTCTTTGGGAAGCCTTGGACATTATGGGAAGACAAAACGAAACTGCTGAGGCAATTCAGCCTCCCCTCCTCTAACCCAGCATATCTACACCTAGGTTCTTCCTGCCATTTGATTGCACTTTCTGAATTCCTTTCTTCCTTTTGGCTCTAATGGTTCAGCCAAAAAGACTTCTTTACTAGCCACCTCTCCTGGGCCTCAAAACAAAACTGCTAAATGGGGCCTGACATTCAGTCTCCCCTGATCAAAGTGGTTTAGCATCATCTCCTCTGGGCTTTCCTCTCAGGGCGGATTTGGAGGTGGGGAAGAGAATGGGGGTGGAGGTTGGGGGTAGAACTATGCATCGCCCTTATAGCCTGCAGCGCTGCTACCTCTGAACCTCCTACCCAACCATGCCTCCTGGCCGTGTTCCACTCCCTATTCACTTTTCTAGCCACAGGGTTCTACAGCACGGGGTCCAGGAGTGGGGCACGGGTGGTGAGAAGAGATGCCTGGAAAAGTGAAAGAGGCCCACAACCCTTAGGGGGTAAGCCTACCACTTTTTCTAATCACAGATCAGAAGTTTTGTGTGTGTGCTGCCTATGAATTTTGGCTAAAAGACCTTCCAATGTTCTTCATAGCTAAGACATATACTCAATCAACACTTCATGAACAGAGTAGGGGGAGGGAGAGAGCAACCTGGTTTCCTTAACAGTAGCAGGAAGTAAAGCCTTACTTCTAGCCTGAATTCTGAGAGGTTATGGCCAGAATTCGAGGCCAGGTTATTTCTGGCAGTAACACAGGATCGTTATCCAGAGGTAATGGTGTCCCAGTAGTCATGGCTTTTGCCATGACTTCCGGAGGATAGGGGAAATAGAGGCTGGTACTACTGGGTCTCTGATTAAATGCCCACGCACGCACCTAGCCAACAGGACTGGGGTGGGACAGCAGTTGGGTCCCTGCTTTCCGTCCCAGGGCGCTTGCTCTCCATCCTGCCTCCCAGCCTCCATTTCCCCGACAGCTGCCACTACTCCGCGAGTGCAAGGGAGCGCCCCCCATCCCTGAACCCCACCCCTCCGCCACACAGCTGCGGCCGCCCCGCCCGCGGGCACCTGGAGCGCCCGGGCAGGAGTCGGCACGCACGCGGCCAGCCTGCCCCGCCCCCCACCCGCGCATTCTCTGAATTCCTACGGGCGGAGCCTGGGCCCGGGTGGGGGCGCGGCGCGCACAAACCTCCAGGGGCACCGCAGTGAAGGGGGAAGGATGGGGGGGATGCGCCCTCTGCGCCCTCACTGCCCCACTTGGTCCCCTCCCTAAGAGGTCTCCTGCCGTGAAAAACCGAGGCTCCAGTGCTTGAGAAACGGACTCACGAGATTCCAGGAGGGTTGAATTTAGCAGAAATAAGAAGCCCTGGCTCATTTGAAACCCAGCAGGAAGGGGACATTGCTCTGGGGCTGCCCCCATCCCTCCCTCTACATTCTTTTGTAGCCCCGCGTCTCCACCTTGGACCTGGTGGGACCCCGGGACACCAGCACTTTGGGCCGTCGGGGCAGAGGAGAACCCAATGTGATGACAGGTCCCTTCCTGTCCCTAACCACTTCTCTCACTCACCGAAGTAGTCCTCCCTGGTCTCCGGCTCCCGCATCCGGGCCCGGGCGGCCTCCGGAACGAAAGGACCTGGCGGCTCCTCGAGACCCGACGGCTCAATACTCGAGGGTTCCCCGCGGGCGCCGGCTTCTCGCCCACCGGTGCCCACCGTCAGGCGAAGCAACGCTGTAAGCTCGTCCTGGTACCGGGCGCCCACGGCGCAGTCCCCGTAGCCGGTCACAGAGTGTCGTCCGGGTTGCGCCCCCCGTCTCTCCAAGGGCCCCGCCACTCCCACTCCAGCCCCGGCTAGGGCTCCAGGGCTGCCCAGAGCCGGGGGATACGAGTGGCGGCTTTCCTGGCAGCCGAACCCCGCGGGCCGCTGAGCGTACAATCGGTCCAGAGCAGCGTGGAGCTCCGGGTAGGCGGACGGGACCCCTCCGGGAGAATAGCCTGCCGGTGCTCCGGCCAGGGGTGGGCCAAAAAGGCACGGCCCCGCGGGCAAGGGACTCCCGTGGCGCTGGTCGTAGCCCATGCTGATGCCGCTGGTGCGATTGCTGCAGGGCCGGCTCCCTCCAGCTCCGCCAGCCCCCGACCCGTCCAGCAGCAGGCTGCCTCGCGGGCTGGACGGCTTGCTAGCGTCGCTGGCCGAGCTACTGGCAAAGCTGGAGCGGGGGCTTAAGGCCGGGGCCGAGGGCTCCAGCCGAAAATCGGGGGGTAATGACTGAGGTAGAGGCAAGGCCCGGGTGGGCGGTGGCCCCCCAGGAAAGGAACCTTCGTAGCGCGGTGCCTCAAAGGAGCCGCGCTGATTTCGCTCAGCCTCCAGGGAACCTTGCTCCCGGGCTGGCTCCAACGGCTCATCCCCAGGTCCCCCAGTAGCTCCTCGGGGCCCTGACTTCCTAGGTACCCCCAACCCACTTAGGCGCCCCTTGCTCGGCCCGGGAGTGCCGTCAGACCCAGACCGGCTAGATTCACCCTTTCTGCGGCCGAACTTCTCCAGCAGGCGACTGGCTTTCTCTCCTAACCGCTCCATGCCCTCGGGCCTGGGGCCTCTCGTCCCCTCCCCGCCTAGCACCCTGCAGCGTCTCTGCGGCCGGTTCTCTTTCCGTGCAGCCGGACTCCGGATCCCCAGGGGCACAGGGGAGGCACAGGGGCTTAGCTGGCGGCCCGGCTGCCCGGCGCCAGGAATCGCACAGCATCCCCCAGCGGGAGGGGCTCCGTCCCCCCACGCATCTGTGGGTGAGAGGGGCTGGCAGTGCCTCCGGCCGCGGCTGTCCGGTCCGCAGGTCTATCTGTTCACGCGTCGACTCGCCCAACTGCCCCACTCTCCCCGGCCCCCACCCCCCTCAGTCTCACGCTCGCCGCAGACCAAACTTCTGTCCCAAACTTTTGTCTGCCTGGCCGGATCTACTTTTCTGGGAGGGCGGAGCGCGGTGTGTGCGCGAGCGCCTGGGGTGTCCGCGCAGGCATCACTGGTGTGTGCAGAAGAGGTGCTGGCGCTAACTGCCCTGGAGGTGGAGGCCCGCGGACTGGACATGAGAGGCGGGCAGGGGCAGTTGTGGCAGCTGCTCCTACAACACTCAAGAATTGGAACAGGAAAGAGTGTGTGGGGAGGGGCCGGGGACTCTTTGTCCGCAGTTGGAATGCGCGGATGGGCATGGTGGACATGGTGGAACGTCGCGGCCCGGGACCGGACGACCAGAGACATGTTCCGCGTTAGCGCCGTGACTTTGTTCCCAGCCTGGGGACTGTGGGAGAGATGTAGAGAGACTGGCACAGAAATGGTGAGACAAGGAGAAAGCCTTAGAGAAGAAGACAGAGAGGAGAAGGCACATGCATAAAGAGGTTCAGAGACGTGTACATAAAGACTGCCCTGAAAGATGACGACGAAACCCACAAGAAGGTGGAAGACAGGTAGCGAAAGGAAGAGCTGGGGAGCAAAGGCGAGTGTGGACGATGCAGAGACCGAAGGGTGCGCAGACAAAGGAAAAGACAAGCTTGTGGTGAAACCCTGTCTCTATGAAAAAACGTATTTTATAAATTTTTTTTTAAAAAAAGACAAGCTTGTCCAGAGAGAATGAGAGCCAAAGAGATAAACTGCAATAAAAAAACTTTTGTGGACTCAAAAAGTTTTGTGATGGAGAAATTTTGCGTCTGTAAAAGCAGTGAAAAGGAGTGAGAAAAATGGGACTAATTTCTACCTCGAGAAGGAGGGAGAGATCTAGTGTGTATGCAGAAGCAGTGAAAACGAGTGAGGAAAAGGTTTGGGACTAATCTCTACCTTAAGGGTAGGATAGTTAGAAGGATAGACAGACACCCCCTGGTGTTTGGAAATGAGATTTTTAGCAAACTTTTCAGGTGACTATGGAGATCCAAGGCCTGGTTTTAGGGCTAGCGAACACCTTGCCCCGTTGGTTGGTCCACTGAAAACTGGTGATACAGAATAAGTATTAACTTGAGAGGAAGCAAAGAAAGGCCATGTAGAGGAAATTGCAAGTGAAAATGATCAGGATGGAAAAAAGGCTGATACTATTTTAGAAGGATCAAGAATAAGGAAAAGAAACCCTGGCTGAGGCGGTCGGGCGAGGTGGCTCACGCCTGTAATACCAGCACTTTGGGAGGCCGAGGTGGGCGGATCATGAGGTCAGGAATTCAAGACCAGCCTGACCAACATTAGTGAAACCCTGTCTCTACTAAAAATACAAAAAATAGCCAGGTGTGGTGGTACACGCCTGTAGTCCCAGCTACTTGGGAGGCTGAGGCAGAAGAACCCAGGAGGCGGAAGTTGCGGTGAGCTGAGATCCCGCCACTGCACTTGAGCGAGACTCTGTCCCCACGCCCCCGCCAAAAAAGAATCACTTACTTGAACTCGGGAGGCAGAGATTGCAGTGACCGAAATCGGGCCACTGCACTCCAGCCTGGGTGACAGAGTGAGATTTCGTCTCAAAAATAAAAAAACAAAACAAAAAAGCCAGCCAACTAATTTTGCCCAGACTAGAACATAGGGGCAAGGGGCGGAATAAATAGAATGGAGAAGGAAAATGACTCCTTTGTATTTAGATAGTAAATGAGTATGAAGATTATATGCAAACAAATCATGCATATTATTTTCATCTCAACATTTTGAACACCTTTTATAATCTTACAGTAGCCTTAGGGAATGTGAAAGGAGAGGAGGTTAATATCTTTTGGGAAATTAATTTGGCACATACTATTTGGCTTCTTTGTCCTAGCTGCATTGTCTCCCTGACCTCATCTCTCCTGAGAATCAGCCTCTCTGTTTCCCTGGTCAAGGCCATAGCTTTTCTAGGAGCCTGAGGAGAGTTTCCTACCAGACTGGAAGCAGGGAGGACTCAAAGCACTAGTAACAGAGGGGAGCTATCAGATTTCATCTAGAACCTGATGTGAGTAACATCTTCAGAATTAACCATAACGTTTTCCCTCCTTTCCTATGTTCAGATGGGAAAGGAGAACCTAGATTCTTCCTTTCAATTATATCCAAAATATCCACATGACTAGTAATATTTGGAAGCTTTGATCCTTTGGGGTGAGGATAGGAGAGTAAATCTTAAGAAATGTTGAGAAGCCATTAAAGGAGGCCCATGCAAGTGTTGGTGGTAACAATGGGCACAATTGGGATGAACAGCCTGTGTTTTCAAGGGATAACTGGAAGCAGAGATGAGTGAAGGGGAAGAAGTAGAAGACACATATGCTAATAGGGCATGCTCAAATAGTGCTCATGACCTCAGGGTGGCCTCTCCACAGTCTGAACTGGAGCTGGGATCTCCAAAGGCCCTTTTCATCCCCCAAGACTTTAATTATAATCTGTATACACAGATGACTCCCTAATCCATATTTCTAGCCCAGTCTTTCTTAGACTTAAAGACTCAACTGACTGCTAGCAACTCCACTTGGTTGTCTCAGAAGCACCCAATATCCTAAACTGATCTCATCTTCTCTGCCTCATGAAACTGGCTCCTCTACCATTCTCTGAGTAAATGGCACAATCCTGTTACCTGCTTAAACTAGAAATCTGAGCATCAACCCTATGTCCTACTTCTCCCTTAACCTCAAATCCAACCAAGTCCTACCAATCACCAAGTTTTTTTGTTTGTTTTGTTCTTGTTTTTCTTGAGACAATGTCTCACTCTGTCCCCCCAGATGGACTGCAGTGGTGCGATCTCACTGCAACCGCCACCTCCCAGGTTCAGCGATTCTCCTGCCTCAGCCTCTTGAGTAGCTGGGATTACAGGCATGTGCCACCATACTCAGCTAATTTTATTTATCTTTTTAGGAGGGACAGGGTTTCACCATGTTGGCCAGAATGGTCTTGAATGTCTAACCTTGTGATTCGCCCACCTCGGCCTCCCAAAGTGCTGGGATTACAGGTGTGAGCCACCTCGACCGGACTCCCAATCACCAAGTTCTATTTATTCTGCTTCCTAAACAGATCTTCCAAATCTGTCCTCCCCTCATCACCACTATATATGTCAAGTCACCATCTTTTCTCTCCTAAACCAAGGCAAAAGTCTCCTGGCCACGGCTTGTTCCCTGCAATCCATCTTAGACCCTGAGGTCAAGTGATTTTTCAGTACAGAAGCTTTTCTACTTACAATGGGTTATATCTGGATAAACCCATCCATTATAAATGTAGAATATTGTTAAGGCAGAAGCACATCTTCAACTATGATATTTTCAACTTAAAATGGGTTTATCTGATATAACTACATCATAAGGAGAGGAGCATACCGAATCATTTTGTACTATCATAAAGTTGAAAAATCCTAAGTCGAACCATCGTGAGTTGGGGACTGCTTGTAGGTAAAATCGTTTTATTTCCCTGCTAGAACACTTTGAATGATTTCTCACTGCCCTTGGGCTGAAGTCTGTACTCTGTTTTATAAGGTCTCTCTCCCTCTCCAGCCTCTCCTCTAGCATTATCCCTTCCCCAATCTGGGCTGCTGTAGAACTGGACCTTGCTTGTACTCTCTCTTGCCTCTGGACTTTTGTACCCACTGTTCCATATTTGGAACACTCTCTTAGCCTCCCCTTCCCTTCTCTTGGTTAACTCTTCCCCTTTTAGGTATCAGTTTAGACATTACACCCTCTCAGAAGAAGCCTTCCCAGACTGCAACAGTAGGTTAGCTACCCTGCGGTATGATGCCATAGTGTACTCCACTCCACCATGGTCACCTTATCACAGTTCATTTCATTGCCTACTCTACTGCCTGGCTTCCTGACTAGACTAAAAAAATCTCTGAACAGCATCCAGCCTTATCAACAATGTATCCATAGCACCTAGCACAGTACCTGACACCTAGTAAAGCAATCAATATTTGTTGTAAGACTGAATAAATATAAAGCCATTTTTGCTTTTCAATCCATCCAAAGTGTACCCTTTCCTCAAAATGCAGCTTGGCTAACAGGAACCAAGAAATAGCTACAAGGCTATGTATTTTGCTTGTTTACATAATGGGAGAGAGACTGCTAGTGAGACACAGGGACTCTTTAAGCCTTAATTTCCTCATCTGTAAGATAGGAATAGTAAAATTTTCCTCACATAATTCAATAAACAATAGCTACTATATCAGGATGCCAATTCCCCAATAGTGATAGAACTTGTGTAGAAGACTCAAGCTCATGACTGAAACTGCCCACCAGGTGGCAGTATTAACCTGGACTGGTCCTGTTCAGCTTCCACTGCAGAGCAAGACCAGCAGTCATGGAAAAGCAAAAGGTACAACCTGGGCTGCTTGCTTAGAGATTTGGGTGGAATTGGGTAGGGGCGGAAACAACTCAGAGATGGGCATATGACAAGAAGGCCTCATGTTTCTTATCCTCCTCCTTTTCTCATCCCAGGCTTCTCCCAGATACTGTTTATGCTGAGGAATAAGCATTTTGTGGCTTACTGTTCATAGTGGAGGGAATTTCTCCCCTTTCAGATAAGTTTTTATCCCACCAGAGCTTTCTGCTTCCATTTCCAGGACAGACTGTGTTAAAAAAAAAAAAGAGGCAAATTTGCTTTCTCAGACTGCACAGAGCATCTCATTATTTTGGGAAGCCCCATGGCCACCTATTTCTGGGACATGAGGCATGGTGGGAGCCAGAGTTATTCTTGGCTATAGATTTCATTCATCCTTTTCCACCTTGATTTCAATGAATGAGTTCAAGTCAGGACAGCAGGTTTTGTGGGGTTGGTCAAAAGATGGGGAGACAGATGCATTCTCATCTCCTCCCTCATCTTCCTCTTCTTGGAAATTAGGATTATAAAGTTCTGGTGGAAGAAGCTGGGCTTCAGCAGAAGGCAGTCTGTCTGAAGGGGGCCCATACACACGGTTGGCTTTGGTGCCATGCTTAGAGTTAGCATCCAGATGGTAGCAGAGCTCTGTGAGGCGCTGGGCCCGGAAACGGGGAGGGCGGGCCACCCACACACCTGGCTCATTAAGACTGTCCTCTTCATCTGACATCAGCTCCTCTGTCACATCCTTCCACAGATGTTGGTCCTCAGGTCCAAAATGCCTCATGATACTGGATCGGTTGGCAAAAAGCTAAGGTAGGAGCCCAGGACATAGATTAGGAAGATAAACATTCTATGGATTAGATTTCAGGAAAAGGTTTGGTGCAGAAAGCTGTGTAAAATCTGTGCCTAAGAGAACCCAGTCCCCAAGTCAGCTCTTAGCACTGGCTCACTGTTCTTCTTTATCTCCCTACGTTCCTGACTCTCAACCCTATTCTCAGATGCCCTGTCCTCTGACCCTTTCCACTGTGGCACATTAGGGTTTAGAGGTTAGCATCTTGAAAGAAAGGCCTAGAAACCTACCCGATATCGGCGACTTCGAAGTTTCTTCTCCTCTTTTTCCTTCAAGCCTTTAAAAGGGTTCAGGGAATTGCGGTACTCACGCCTTTTAGTAAGGAAGTAGGCCACACAGGCTCCTGGCAGGGAGGGAAGGAAGGAAGCAAGAAGCAGGGTCCTCTAGAGTAGTGGTCTTTAGCCCGTTTTTCTGCCCTAACACTACTGAATGGGAAGTTGGGGATCACAATTTAGATGATGGGCTTTGGCATAGCCATCAGCATCTATTCACCCCTCTTTGGTTTAGCTTTCTTTTTATTTATTTTATT